ATATATATATATATATATATATATATATAAATCTCAGCGATATACATATAAATTTGTCAGTTTTAATATGTAACAAAGCATTAAGGTGTATGAAAACTTAAGCTTTCACTATCAGTGTGGTGATGGTCCACGGACGATATACTTGATCACTGAAACCCGTCCTTAACGGCACACTCTATTAGCTAACAACAGGAAAAACAGTTCTAGTAGAACAATAACAGAAGATCAACAATAGAACACTAACATACTACACATACTGTACAAAAATAAATATAAGCTGATATGCTTAATTAACAAATAAAAAAACTATCTTTGTGATATGTGGTAAACTACGGAACTTTAAGAGTATAAGTTACTTAAGGCCACCATTGGCTTAACTGTTCCTTGGCTTCGGCACTCCTCGCCCGAGGTTGTACTATTCTGGGGTATCCCAGACCTGGAGGGTAAAGTTGCTACAGATGATCCCAGTGTAGCGCGCGTCTCATAGGCTCAGTGAGGCTCATAAGAGTCTGCATAGACTCTTCCCTTCTTCGAAGCCTCTTGACACCCGTTTGGAATCCTAGGCCATTCTTGGAACTCTTGGAATCTTAAAATCAGAGAGACCTTTAGAATCCCTGAATGCTCACGAAACAGGTGTGAAACTCCATCAGGCAGAAGGGACGAGTTTGCCGTCGATTGAGTTCGCGGATTCGTTATTCTCCTCCTTCGTGGCTTCAGTTTTGTCGCAGGAGAGATCCGGGCAGCAGTGTGGGTACGGCAGACTCAGGTTCTGAACCTTCCTGCACCCAAGGGGTGCGTCGCCCATCACCCCGCACCTGTGGACGAGAATGTACACGGTAAAAAGTTGAGTTTACGTGGAGAACGCAAGTGGTGAAGGGGTACAAGACATGGGGCGTGTATGTGACGTGTATGGGGCGTGTATGTGACGTGTATGTGACGTGTATGGAGGCGTGTATGTGACGTGTATGGAGGCGTGTATGGGGGCGTGTATGATCCGGCGCGTATCATCTTATCCTGGGGACTCGCAGGCGTGGCCAAGCTTTTATGCAACAGCTTTATGAGTTTAGTTAATGAGTAAGATCATCATGACTACTTGGTAACGTCATCGAGTGACGTGGGCATACCAGACCCGATTACCTCAGTCCTTCCTCCATATATCCTAGAACCGATTTGCGTAATGAACTGATAGGCTAACCGACGTCGGCATACGTAAAGCTGAACGCATCGCAACCGTATCGCATATGCGATAAGTGCAACAACGAGAGCATAGGTGATTCTAAGTTTGAAGCCGAGAACGCTGGCAAACGTCACCTACCAAGAGATAGATTGTGATAGCAGCATCCCTGCTTGTTGATTCAGTGCTTGGGGGATGGAAGGGGGGGGGTGTAGGCCCTTCCGCTGACAGCAGAGCTGACAGTCTGGTGGACCAGGAGGCTGCATCTCTCGCTCTATTTATCTCGCTTCACTTGCCTGCCTCGCATCCTAATTCACGTGTACAGTAATGATTCTCTGTATTGGTGTCACCTTAGTGTTGTCTCTCTCATGACCCACGTGTCAGGACAGGTGAGAGAGAACACGGGGCAGTTGAAACAGGACACGAAGCAGGTGCAAGAGCATAGTACCAGACCACAGTGCCAGCCCATCACAGTGCCAGCCCATCACAGTGCCGGCTCACAGTGCCGGCCCCAGCAACATGGTCTCCACGCACTTGACTGGACACTAAACATGGCGGCACCGGAGAATATCTCACACACACATGTGGAAAAACAGTTGAGTCGAGCATTTGTCAACGCCTCGTTGGTGCCCACTGCCCCACCCCAGTAGTGGCCCCCCACACGAGGGACCCCACACTAGGGGACCCCACACTAGGGGATCCCACACTAGGGGCCCCACACTAAGGGCAATGCAATTTCACACAAGAGAATATTACACAAACTTGAGAGACAGTCATAAGTAGAAGAGCACCAACATAGTAAGAGAGTACCTAACAGACAGGAGTCAGAGAGCCACAGTGAAGGCGGAGATGTCGGACTTGGCGTAAACAGAGTACCACAGGGATCGGTGCTGGGACCCAAACTATTTTTTTTACCTAACCACTAAAGGGGATTGACAGAGTGGGAAAAAAAACCTCAGGATGTTCAAAACGAATTCCAATAGAACAAGGGAGCATGGATGGATGCTTGGACGAGATATGTTACAGATGCTAGATAGTTTTAGAGCAAGATTGGTTGGAAAATGGAGTGTACTACATGAGTAATTTCTAGAAGCGAACTCCTTTCATAATTACAAAAGTATATATGATACAGAAATAGTTAAAAAAAAAAAGCCATTGCATTAGACAACTGGTGTCTAGAAAGGCGGGGTACAAGAGTTAAAGCTCGACTCAGCAGGCATAAAAGAAGCAAGTACACACATGGACAGCGTTCCGGATTCCATTAATAATCCATTATTATTAATGGAATAAATTTTAACCCCATTCATGATTTTAAAAGTACATATGATAGGGCAATAGGTCAGGAGTCATTGCATTAGACAAGCGGCGGCTAGAAAAGCGGGGTCCAAGAGCTAGTGGTCGACCCAGCAGCCACAACTAGGCGAGTGCAGGGGTGACGTGACACACACCTAACCAAGCGGACGCTACACACGTGGCTCACAGGTGTCTGAGTCAGCTGACGAACGCTGGGTAAATATTGGTGGTAATTGTTTGATCGGTGTGATAGCAACACTGTTGTTGATAGTGGTGGTATAGGGGCAGCTTTTGCACCGGCAGTAACATCATGAGTATTAATAACAGTTGTAATAATCCAGTCATAGTAGTTGTAGTAGCGGTTTTGTTTGCATTTGTTAAACAATTTTAGAGTTCCGCAGCCTTTTGAGTTGATGACAATGACCTTTGGTTGTGAAGTTTCCAAGCTCGTAAGATGTTTAATAAATTAAAAATATGATTGAGAAAAGATGTAGGGGTTTCGTCTGAGTGCTTGAGTATATATTTGATGACATCTGGCTCAGAAAGCTTGCCCGTCTGGTGCCGAGGGATGAACACTATCTTGATCAGTGTCTTTCAAACCTAAGGTCGTCTTAATGTGCTGGGGCGAGGGAGATTGTTCACTGGGGCGAGGGAGATTGTTCACTGGGTCGAGGGAGATTGTTCACTGGGTCGAGGGAGACTGTTCACTGGGGCGAGGGAGACTGTTCACTGGGGCGAGGGAGACTGTTCACTGGGTCGAGGGAGACTGTTCACTGGGGCGAGGGAGATTGTTCACTGGGGCGAGGGAGATTGTTCACTGGGGCGAGGGAGATTGTTCACTGGGTCGAGGAAGATTGTTCACTGGGTCGAGGGAGACTGTTCACTGGGTCGAGGGAGATTGTTCACTGGGTCGAGGGAGACTGTTCACTGGGTCGAGGGAGATTGTTCACTGGGTCGAGGGAGATTGTTCACTTTGTCGAGGGAGATTGTTCACTGGGTCGAGGGAGACTGTTCACTGGGCCGATTGTGTTCTCTGGTTCACTGGAGTCGAAAACCAACGTAAATGACTGCTATTTTTGCCAGGTCAAAAAATAACATATTATCGTAGCAGGGGAAAAGATCTTTTGCAAAACTTAAGAGTTGATTCTTGAGCGAAATGACACTGAAGATCGCAGACCAAGATGCAAGGGGCGTGAGACTTGTGGAACACTGTAACTTGCTAATTCCATCCATCGTGAACTCTCCGCTAAGTTCAGATTCCTACCCACGGAAAATATATAATATATACTGTAAATGTTTGCTGTTTGAGAATGCTTTTTCTGTGATGGAAAGTGTGCTTAATGTACGGGAGTGTTCGGCCCACATGAAGGCTTGCTGACTGTCTTCACATTAACAAATATGTTGGAAAACGTAGTGAGACGCTAATCTTGTCAGAAGTACTTACGCTTTATCTTGAAGTGACATCTGAAGGGTGAGAAAGAACTAAAGATGCTGCACATTTTTCTTACCTTTCATCACTTCAAACACCCCTCCACCCCTCTCCTTCCTTCCCTCCTTCCCTCGCTCCCCCTCCCTCCCCCCCTCTCCTTCCTTCCCTCCCTCCCTCGCTCCCCCTCCCTCCCCCCCTCTCCTTCCTTCCCTCCCTCCCTCGCTCCCCCTCCCTCCCCCGCCCCCCTTCTCAGCGACCCTCTCGATAAAACAATTAGCAAGCAGCTGGTAGTGTTTGGGCCACACTTGAGGCAGAGCGACCCGGGCCACCAGGAAGTCCTGAGCCTCCACAACTCTGTATGAAGGCTGCGATGATTGCTTCCCTGAGAGTCCGGTATACAATAATTAGTGGGTATGTTTGGGGGGGGGGAGAGAGGGAGCAGGGGAAGAGAGTGATAGTGAAAACCGGAGGAGGTAAGGAAGAGGAAGGGAGAAGGGGAGTGAGAGGGAGAAGGAGACGCAAGGGAAAGAGCCAACACATCAATAAGAGACTACGAAACGACTAAAAACAAAATATCTGAGAGAGAACTTGGGACATAACAGCGAATGTCCTTAGCCCTGACCCGGCTAAGGCATCACGACATGCATCAGAGTCTATAAGATATAGATATATCAAACGACGCCACACCTTACATATACAAGCGTGAACATACGAGTGAGAATGAACACTCCGGTGTGAACAAGAATTATAGAGTATGTCCTAGACATACAGTTGCCTAGCTCCTGGGTGCCTATGCACTGTTAGGTGAACAAACGCATCGGGTGAAAGGAAACGAGCCCACCCGTCTCTGTCCACGGATCGCGCTGAGTGACAAGAGGCAAGAAGAGGAGCCGACGAGAGAGGACCACAAAAGTATGAGTGAGACTCAGTACATAAAGAATTGGAGCGTTACTCACGTTGCGTACTCAATGGTGAGTCTGGAGCGGTTCTTCGTACAAGCGGCTCTGGTGCAGTGAGGCTCCTGCCACTGGGTACCGGGTGGGTATGCCTTGTTCGCCTTCGCTACCCAACACATGTTAGGGTACTCTGTCAGGGTAGAGAGAGAGAGGGAAGCAGGTCATTAGCAATTCAGGTGTTCGTCACTAGTACACTATGAAGGTTGAGACACTTAAAGAGGGTCAAGATATCATATCAATAATGGGTTTTTAAAGCGCGAGTGAGCGCTAATGCCTGCAGCTGTATAGAAGCATTGATGATTTAAATTTTAATTTATCGTAAATTCCTGCATCTAGAGTGTAGCATTGATGCTTGAAGCTTGACTGAGGCATTGATGTCAAATTGATCATCAAAGAAGTTCTACAGATCTCGGGTAGGTGACTAGACTTGCCAGACGAGGACCCGAAACCTGAAGTTACGTGTGATACTGGATTATATTAAGCATCTTGTTATGCTCCATCTATCTGGAGTCTCCAGATAGCTAAATGGTACAAGCATTTGGGGGTCGACCCGGGAATAGCGAGACTCTCCTCCCAGAGGGTCGAGTGAGCCCTTCGACGTACTTAGCGAGCGAGGCCCTTCATCAGCAGCTAAACCAACCAAGGTTAACAAGAGCCAGTCACGATACACGAGTCCAGAAACAGTACTGCTTCTGTAATGGCTACCGAGACGATATGCCTTAACGTGGTGTTGAATTACTTCCTCTAAAGCACACACACACAAGACTGGATTCTGGATTCAGAATCTCTTATGACTACGTACATAAAAGCATGTCGCATGCCTCAGGCCGGCCTCACGGGCGGCCTGAGGTCGGCCTCTAGTTAGTAAGGCGTCTTGACCCCGCTCTCATATCTGGGACACCATGATGACGTGATTTCATTTCTGCCGACAAGAAATTGCTGCCTCGTGATGACAGTACAAGGCTGGTTATTAATTCATTTCTGCCTACTCATTCATTTCTTAATGACACACACACACACACACACACACACACACACACACACACACACACACACACACACACACACACACACACACACGTCGAAGGGAACAAATGTATGGGAGGTTGCCAGCACCTCGGAGTATGGCGACGATGGGGCCTCGTAGCCTGGTGGATAGCGCGCAGGACTCGTAATTCTGTGGCGCGGGTTCGATTCCCGCACGAGGCAGAAACAAATGGGCAAAGTTTCTTTCACCCTGAATGCCCCTGTTACCTAGCAGTAAATAGGTACCTGGGTGTTAGTCAGCTGTCACGGGCTGCTTCCTGGGGGTGGAGGCCTGGTCAAGGACCGGGCCGCGGGGACACTAAAGCCCCGAAATCAACTCAAGATAACCTCAAGAAGAGGGCACCATATGAGCTCTCTCCCACACCCCCAAGCAGAGGCAGGCAAACACACATACGTGTCTCCCTGCCTTTACGTGTAGCTGGTCTCGCTCTGAAGGAGGCGATAAGACTAGAAGTGACCACCAAGATCATGTAAGGCCATTGACCCCGCATGGTACACTCTCGGCTCGTGGTGGAGAGGGCGACGATGAAGGTGATGGTGATGATGGCTGTGGTGGGGACCATAGAGGCGGTGGTGAAGACGGTGATGGAGGCGATATTGGACACCAAGCACCATACAATATCAAAATAAACTAACCCAGCTCACCCAATACGTCACATGCGTAACGGCATCGACCAGTCCTATACAACAGCAACGGATTTGTAACATTTCCAACGGCGCAACAGAGACGTATTCTGCGCCGCGGCCTCGGCCCTGGGTGAATGGGTTCGCACGTTGCCGGTTAGGCCAAACAGTTGCAATTTTTTACGAAGTGGGAGATGGAGAGAACGGGCGGGTGGGTGGTGGCGGAAGTGATGACGTATGGTATAAAAAAAATGGGTTTCTCCTCACCTCAGTTTCCCCAGCATCTTTTTTTTCCTGTTTTCTGGACTACCCCTCCCCCCTTCCCACTCCCCCCTCTGTGTCCACTACGTTATGTGTGGTAGGTGGTGTAGAGGGGGTGGTGTGTGTGGTAGGTGGTGTAGAGGGTGTGTGTGTGTGGTAGGTGGTGTAGAGGGGGTGGTGTGTGTGGTAGGCTGTGTAGAGGGGTTGGTGTGTGTGGTAGGCTGTGTAGAGGGGGTGGTGTGTGTGGTAGGTGGTGTAGAGGGGGTGGTGTGTGTGGTAGGCTGTGTAAAGGGGTTGGTGTGTGTGGTAGGCTGTGTAGAGGGGGTATGTGTGTGGTAGGTGGTGTAGAGGGGTGTGTGTGGTGTGGTAGAGGGGTGGTGTGTGTAGAGGGTGTGGTGTGTGTGGTAGGCTGTGTAGATGGGGTATGTGTGTGGTAGGTGGTGTAGAGGGGTGGTGTGTGTGGTAGGTGGTGTAGAGGGGTGGTGTGTGTGGTAGGCTGTGTAGAGGGGGTGTGTGTGTGGTAGGCTGTGTAGAGGGGGTGTGTGTGTGGCTGTGTGGTAGGTGGTGTAGAGGGGTGGTGTGTGTGGTAGGCTGTGTAGAGGGGGTGGTGTGTGTGGTAGGCTGTGTAGAAGGGGTGGTGTGTGTGGTAGGCTGTGTAGAGAGGTGCCTACCCAGCACCAGCCGGTAATTACCCCATCAGGTCAAGGGTCACAAAACCGGAAGATCGTGGTAGGAATGCAGGAGCCTCGCGCACCCCAGTAGTACGGAGCCTTGGTCAGCAGGTCCTCCCTCTCCCCCCCCCCCCACCCCTCGTCCCCCTGACCCTCTACCCTCTCTCCTTTACACCCCCCCCCCCCTTCCCCAATCTTCCCCACCCCCCTCCTCATCTCCCTCTTCCCCCACCTCTCCCCCACCACCATCGTCCTTGTCTCTACAGGTGTGGGGCACAGAATGCTGGCGCCACAGCCTGACCTCAACTGGTACAAACTGCACCCGTGGGAGTGCTAAAATATATACATATATATTTGATCTCACCTTGAGGTCTTGCAGGTGGGTGGCGCCGCGTGCGTGGTGTCAGGTGGGTGCCAGTGTACATGGTCTACTGCTTTGTGTTTAACGAGGCAAGAACCACACACACAATGGTGCTGCAGAATCCATTAATGGTATGGCGTGCGTGGAATACAAGGTCCTAAACGAATCTTTATTCAGATTTCTAAAGGGAGTTTTTATGCTGGGCAACCTTGCATATGCAGATGATGACATTTGGTTGATAGGTATGTTTAAGGTAGTACTTGTTTGGTCTCCTGTTCCCAATAGCCAGATCCATTGTCTTGAACTTTCTTTGTTAAACTCTAGTAGCCACTTGTTTGCCCATTATTTAAGTTTGCCAAGGTTTGCCTGTAGGTTTTCAGTTTTATGTTTTATACTCGACATAATTTTGGCATCAGATAGGAGGGAGGGGGAGAGAGTTCTTACCCCCTTAGAAGATCATTCACTGTGAAAGCTCCCCTACAATGTGATTCTGTTTTCTGTTGCTTAGATATCCCCTTAACTGCTGAAGTACTTTTCCTGTCACTGCTGCCTTTTTCTTCAAATAGTGCTCTAGTTTTATGTGGAGCATTATGTCGAAGGCTTTTAGGCAGCCCAGTAAAGATTCAGTCTGCCCACCGTTCTTTCTTGACTGATCTCTGTTGCCACACACAGTTTTGTTTTGTTTGCCACGCATATTGTTTTGTGAAGCAAGTTTTTCCGTGCCTGACCTCCTGTTAGAGTCGAGTTATAAGTGATGTTCTCTCTAGATGTTACAACAGACTCGTTAGCTTATTCCATGAGCCTGCATGCAAGGTCCCTGTAGTTTAACACATCCTATCTGTATCCTTTTTGTATATTAGTGTTACAGCTCCTGTCTTCAAACTTTCTGGGGGGTTTTCTACTTACTAGTGACGTTATATATCACAGTAAATGAAGTTCAACTACAGTAGATGCTGCTTTACTTCGTCTCTTGTAATATCAAAGTACTCCAGTGCTGAGACATAATCCCTTACTTATCCTTATAATCTCGTGCTCTCATGTGAATAACATGGAATTTTGCCTCGAGTTCATCACACAGGTCCATGTCACTCTCTGTAAATGAGTTATTTTTGTAGTATCGTGATGTGGTTGGGGAGCAGCATGGGATGAGTCTTTGTTTTATCTGCTACGTTGTTTTCAAGTTGTCTCGCAGCTGTTCAAGGGGTCAGATGGGTAGGGGTATACAAGGGATCAGGTGGGTGATGGCGGATTTGGCAGAGAGAGAGAGAGAGAGGGGGGGAGGGGAGAGAGAGAAAGACACAGGCAGAGGGAGGGGAGAGAGAGAAAGACAGAGAGAGAGAGGGAGGGAGGGACGGAGGGAGAGGAGTGCATTATAAGCGTGTATGGGGGTTTCATCAGAGCTACTCCAGGGAATCTGGCGTCCCTAATGTGTTTTTTTGTCCCTGCCTTACGCCTCGCCCCCGGCACCGCCCCTCCGCCACAAGGACGACATATTCATTCACGGGTGTGTTGCTCTGGTACCCCCTGACCTCCCTGGTGGTGGCCCCTGACCTCCCTGGTGGTGGCCCCTGACCTCCCTGGTGGTGGCCCCTGACCTCCCTGGTGGTGGTGGCCCCTGACCTCCCTGGTGGTGGTGGCCCCTGACCTCCCTGGTGGTGGTGGCCCCTGACCTCCCTGGTGGTGGCCCCTGACCTCCCTGGTGGTGGCCCCTGACCTCCCTGGTGGTGGCCCCTGACCTCCCTGGTGGTGACCTCCATGGTGGTGGCCCCTGACCTCCCTGGTGGTGGTGGTGGTGGCCCCTGACCTCCCTGGTGGTGGTGGCCCCTGACCTCCCTGGTGGTGGCCCCTGACCTCCATGGTGGTGGCCCCTGACCTCCCTGGTGGTGGTGGTGGTGGCCCCTGACCTCCCTGGTGGTGGTGGCCCCTGACCTCCCTGGTGGTGGCCCCTGACCTCCCTGGTGGTACCCTCTGACCTCCCTGGTGGTGGTGGTGGCCATCAGTACCTTCCTTTCAGTGACTCCTGGCCAGCGAGGTATATGGCTTTTTGTACCCCAACTATTCTTTTGTATATGGTGTAATTTTGTAACTTTTTTGTTTGCGTTTGAATTCGTATTTACTCCTGAAGCTGTGAATGGAGGTGGCTTCCACACACTCCTCTTACAGTAC